CTATATGCACTTTTGTTGGCAGGGTGATGTCTCTGCTTTTTAGTATGCTGTCTAGATTTGCCATAGCTTTCCTCCCCAGGAGCAAGCATCTTTTAATTTTTTGGCTGCAGTCCCCGTCTGCAGTGATCTTGGAGCCCAGAAAAATAAAATCTGTCACTACCTCCATTTCTTCCCCATCTATTTGCCAGGATTTTAATGCCTACCCTGCAACAAATCCTATGAAAATAATTTACGGCACTTAATGTCTGATTTCACAAACTAGAAAGTATTGCTCAGATTAAGACTGCTTTATCATTAATCATTAAACTGCAGTACTTTTGACAAGCCTCAATAAAGATATTCAACTCCCCCCTTTCCTTGGGACTGCTCAAACTTTGTTGGGCTGGGTCTTTTCCCTCAGCAATTGGGAAAGGAAAATGTCTACATTTTAGGTATTGAGATCAGTCCACCATCCCCTTTCACAGAAAAAGAGGCAAGTCTTGGTATTTTACCTGGAGTTTTTAATAGCATTTAATAGCATTACCTGGAAATATACTGTTCAATATCTGTAGTTTGTTAGAATATTTGCGCCATAATCGAAGTACGTAGTCTTCCCAGCGAATCATCTTTCCCAAAATAAGCATAACTGGGATGGTAGGAAGTCCAATTAAAAGGAACAAGGGATCAGCTCTTTCCATGACATCAAGGCCTTCTTTATGACCCACAACCTAACAATAAAAAAGTCAGTCTTATATTAAGCAGAACATCTATGTAGCATTGATTTTTGCCTCAAAGAATTTATTATTTTCATATCCTAATTTCAAGCATCATTGACACAGCACATCTTTTCAATATGGCATAAGATCAAATACTTTAGGCTAGTTAACTCTCTCCACTAAATCTTAGGAGAAAATATACAACTAACCAAGTATTGACACCCTGGAGGAAGAATGGGGTATAAACAGAATGAAACAATTTTAAGCCCACTGCAGTTCAACTTTCATTTGTGAAGCTATTTAAGGAGTCCAGATTGAAACAGAATGATACAAGATATGTTAGATCTTGCTTATACTCATTAAGTGACCAAAAGTCAAAGTTACTCAAAGATCCAGTTCACACATAACTCAGAGTATGGGTCGAATGTGGGTCATTATTCAATTGTGAGTTACTGACTCATGAGTTATAATTATTATTTATTTCATTTCTATACTGCCCCCCAGCCAAAGCTCTTCGGGCAGTTTACACAATCCATAAAAACAAATAATAAAAATACCATAAAAATCAGAAAGCACTAAAAAGTTTAAAACAGATAAAAACTAAAACAGATAAAAACAAACAAAGAATGATAAAAATGTGACTCTGCAAATAGTTGGCGACACCGCCTCCCCCCCCCCCCCAATCCCTGGGAGGCTCAATAAGCACTTAATAGCCTCAGAAAAGAGGGCTGCCTTGCCTAGGCATGGAAAAGATGACAGATTTGACTGCAGTGGCAAGGTTATTCCATAGCTGGGGAGGCCACCATTGAGATAGTCCTCCCCATAGTTACCAACCTCCAGACTTCCCTTGGAGTTAGCACTCAGGTTGAACACAATGTCCGAGTAGATCACAGTTGAGAGAGGTGCTCTGACAGGATTTGCGGTCTTAAGCCATGTAGGATTTTATCGGTTAAAACCAGCACCCTATATTGAGACTGGAAGCATAGAGGCAGCCAATGCAAGTGGGCCAGAACTGGTCTTTTATGTTTGGACCTAAGGGTCTCAGTTTTTATTCCAGCTGCTGCATCCTGGACCAGCTACAGCTTCTGAGTCATCTTCAAGGGCAGCCCCACATGGAGTGCACTGCAGTAATCTAATCTGGAGATTACTATAGCATAGATTATATGTAATTAGGCACAAACTATGCACTATAGTTTGCCTATAGATAACAGCTGCACCAATAAACCATGGGCTGTTCATGGTTAACACTCAATAGTTAAATCTTAATACAGGGTATGTATGTAATGAAAACATACAGTTCAATAACAACCCACAATTTAATTACAACCGGTATGGGTTGTTATGTGCAACCTAGGAGTCTACTTGTTGTAACACATGAACTCAGTCAGTGTATACAAAACAATTTGAATACTCTAGCATCAAAATTTTTAATAACCATTACTCTTTATTTGATATATGGACAGAATCACACTTTAAAGATAGTTCAACTCTACAAATTTCATACTGTGTGGAAGAAAGTAGTTATAATCCAATATAGGAGCATTTGCACCTATAACACAGACGGTTTTAAATCATTCTGAATAAACATTTAGGAACACATCCACTTGTTCTGAGGTAAGAGCAGTCAGAGAAAGTAACTATATGCCTGGTCATGGCAGAAAATAGAGAGATTGGATTACAAAGATCTTTAGTCTGGTACAGTTATGTGTATCACCTTAGTTATGTTCTGAATAAAATATACTTTTAACAATGAGTCATGTATCAGCTGGTGAAACTTACTTAATGTCTTTATCTCCCAATAGCAGAAGCTTGCGAGATATTATATCAACAAATTGGCTATGATGCTGCAGTCACTGGTAACCCCAAAAGCAATACCCACCTGTGTGACTGCCCACTGGAGCTCTGATAAATCTTTCCATTACAGAAGCAAAGTAAGGTTACTTACTTGTAACTGACATTCTTCAAGGGCTCATCTGTGCATTCATACTATTATGAGCTCTGTGCCTGCATGGGGCCTGCTGCTGGGAAGCTTTTCCTAGCTAAACTCATTATGGAGGGAGTCCTGCCCTTCCCTTCCCATATATACATGAGAGGCTCCTGCCATTTCCCCCAGTTCTCACGAGACCAACATTTTGGCCTCAGAACTGGGGAGTTAGGCCCACACCATCTCAGAATAGATCCTGAGGGAAAAGGAAGACTACAGGAACTGAGGCTCTTGACACTGATATGGGAACAGTGGGTAGGCTGTGTGAATGCACAGATGGCCACTTGAAGGAGTCAGTTATAGGTAAGCAACCCTACTTTCTTCTTCATGGTCTCTGTGCAGCACACATATGGGTGACTAGTGAGCTTACTTGAATGGAAGAGGGCTGGTGTTGCCAGTGGAGGACCACCTAGAGGACTGCTTGGCTGAAGGAGCAATCTTACTTGGCATGGATATTGAACCAGTAGTGCTGGATGGAGTGGACCATGTGGCTGCCCTGCAGAGGTCCTGCAGTGGGATGCTTGTGTGCAGTGCTGTAGCTGTTGCCATTACCCTGGTAGAATGTGCCCTTGGTCGTTCACGGAGGTGCAGGCCTGTTTGATGGTTTTGACAATCCAGTGGGAAAGTAGTTGGGGGCTGATAGGCTTGCCTCTGGGCTGTTCCCTATACTCCACAAAGGCTCTGTGACCAGCGGAAGGATTTGGGAAGGGACCGATAGAATGCCAGCTCCCTACACATGTCCAGGGTATACAGGGCTGACTCCTCCAGGGAAGAATCATTGGGAAAAATGCTAGCAGTAAAATGTCTTGGTTCAAATGGAACCTCGACACAACCTTAGAGAGGAACATCAGGTCAGGCTACAGAACCACCTTGTTCCCATGCAGAGTGAGGAACAGTGGATCAATGCGCAAATTTCATTTGCCTGCCTAGTCATACTGATCATCACCAGAAATCCAACTTTCCAAGAGAGGAGCTCAAAGGTGGCCAAAGGCTCAAGGGGAGGCTTTGTGAGAACCTTCAGGACCACCGACAGCCTCTATCCCAGCACATCTCCATCTCAGAATGAACAGGTGAGATCAGGTTGTGCAGGCCTCTCAGGAACCAATAGAAAAAGCAGGTTGCTTACCTGTAACTGATGTTCTTCGAGTGGCCATCTGTGCAGTCACACATATGGGTGCTGCGCCTGCGCAGTGCCTTTGGCTGGACGATTGCAAGCTAACAGTTTTTGGCAGGAAAAAGCTCTGCTCCCCCTCCCCCATGGCCTATAAAGAGCGGAGTGTCCGCCATTTTGTTCAGTCTTTGACAACCGAACGTACGCACCCTTGTGGAAAAAAATTTTCAGTATGAGATAGGAAAAAAGGATCGGTATCATGAAAAAAAGGAAATACTTTCGGTACCGACGAATATGTCCACTCACCGACACCGAGCGGGGCTGGTGGGTGGGTTGTGTGACTGCACAGATGGCCACTCGAAGAACATCAGTTACAGGTAAGCAACCTGCTTTTCTTCGTCGTGGCCTCTGTGCATCACACATATGGGCAGATTAACAAGCTTACCATAAAGGAGAAGGGGAGGTGTTCTCAATGAAGAATAGACGAAAGAACGGCTCTGCCAAAGGAGCAATCCTGCCGAGCCTGAACATCTAGACGATAATGTCTGGCGGAAGTACAAGGGTTCGCCCAAGTAGCAGCTCGGCATACATCATCAAGTGGGACCCCCGATGCAAAGGCAGATGAGGCTGCAACAGCCCTAGTCGAATGGCCTTGAGGGGCTGTAGGCAAATCAATCTTAGCCAATTGATAGAATAAGGTTATAGTATGGACTATCCACTTGGAAAGTCTCTGCGGAGTGACTGAATCGCCCTGATCTCTGGTGGAATATTGAATGAATAGTCTATTTGAATGTTGAATAGATTCAGTCCTCGATCTGTAGAAGGCTAAGCAGAGCCGAACGTCAAGTGAATGCAAGGATCTCTCTAGTGGAGTCGACGGTGACAGAAAAAAGGCAGGTAAAATAATATCCTGTCCCATATGAAAAGGCATAGTCACCTTAGGAAGAAAAGAGGGGTCAAGGCGCAAAACGACCTTTTCTCTGTGAAAATTCAGGTAAGGCAGGTCTATGCGGAGAGCGCAAAGTTCACTGGCCCTTCGGGCTGAAGTGACCGCCACAAGAAACGCTGTCTTCCAGGAAACCAGACGCAAATCTACTGTTGCCAATGGTTCGAAAGGAGCTCTCGTAAGCGCTTGCAGAACAACAGAAAGACTCCAGGTAGGTATTACTGGTCTGATTGATGGATTAAGATTATGCAGTCCCTTAAGAAATCTCTTCACAATAGTTTGAAAGAAGATAGACGATTCGTCAACTAAGCCACGATGGTAGGCTATTGCTGCCGTATACACTTTAATTGAAGACGGCTTTAATCCGGAGTGGTGCAGTTCTAATAGGAACTGAAGGATTTGATGTATAGATGACGTAAATGGAGAGAACGAATGAGACTCGGCAAAGGTAGAGAATCGTCTCCATTTAGCAACGTAAGATTTCTGTGTGGACGGCTTTAAAGCAGAATCGAGGATATGTTGGATATCAGGATGAAAGGCTGTCGGATTCGATGGGTCAAGCCTTGAATCCGATGGTACGGAATGAAGAAGGAAAGAGAAAACGCCGAATCAATCGGACTCAACGGCAGGATTCGATTCAGTTGAAGTTGTTGTCAATACCAGTGGCGCAATGGTAGCTATCGGATTCGCCATGCTGTTAGGTTCAGTGACAGAAAGTCCGGGTAGTGAAGCGTACCGCCCTGTTGAGTGATAAGGTACGGAAGCAGTGGTAGATGAAGGTATTCCCCGTGAGAGATGTCAAGTAGTGTTGCAAACCAAGCTTGCCGTGGCCACTAAGGGGCAACTAGTATCCCCGAGGCTCGATCGTATACTATCTTCGCTATGACCCTCATCATAAGAGGGACTGGAGGGAAGGCATAAAAGATCATGTTGTTCCATGGGATCATGAAAGCATCCCCCAAGGATCCGTC